TAGTGTCGAAGGTAAAAACCCTGCTGGGACTGTTGCTTTAATGTTAAACTCTTCTGTGAGGATAAAAGCATCGAGGTGCCCATCAATAGCTGTTCTAGATAAGGTTTTGCGCAAAGAAGACGCCTTCAAATGCCAAACGCGATCCCAAATGAAATTCTCGTCTACGCTTCCTGAGAGCAGAACGATCGACATGGAATGCCTTGTTGTCTGAAACCCTTCTGCGTTTCCGCTGGTGCTTGTTGGAATTCCAGACTTCGTGTGTAACATCACGTGGCATCACATCGGAGCGTCAAAAGCACATGTGACATCGACGTTCTATCGAAGTCAACCACAAATTTCACGTGATGGGTCCCTTTGGTCGATGTCAGACTTTGCGATTCGAGCGCAGCGTATTCAGCATGTTCCTATTGGGCTACACGCGACCGCAAACGCTAGCAACTGCTCGATTTGCAAATCCGACGTTGCCCTGTAGGGGTAATATGGCGATTAAAGTACCGCAGAATTCTAGATTTGGGTTGCGGCAGCAAGAAGAGCCGCTTCTGATGCAATCACACACTGTTGAGAAGGTTGCGCGGCGGAGCTCGTCTTCATGGTGACGATAGTTTTTGCCTCAGTCTACGAGAAGAGTAGACTCTTACAAGGGAGGTCTTTTAGAGCAAGTCGCGCTTTTTCAAAACGGTTTGCTGCATATTGTAGGGGACACATATAGGAAACCCAAAACCGTGTTTTCGTTTTCGCTGAACGGTTGTAGTAGTACCAAAAAAGTGGTGAATTATACCTTAATGGTTCGATCCTCCGCGGCGACTAAATTTTGCATTTGGGTTGGCGCCTACGGGTTGGTGCCAAATCGCGCTAAATATCAAAATCAGATGTCATATTCATCGTCAGGACCATTTTGAAGCCAACAAGTGGCCGCCAACCTTGATTGCAAAATTTAGTCGCCGCGGGGGATCGAACCATCAAGGGTATATTCACCACTTTTTTGGTACTACTAAAACCGTTCAGCGAAAACGAAACATGGTTTTGTGGTCCCTACATGCGTCCCTACAACATGCAATAAACGTTTCAAAAAAGCGCGGTCATGCTGCTGAAAGACCTCCCTTTAGTAGAGAATAAAGTCTCAACTTGATGTGCTCGGAAAACAGTCGAAGATGCTCCTAAAGGAGCGTTCGCCTATTACGTTTCACGAAGAATTGGAACTACATAAACTGGAATGACTTGCTTGAGCCTCCCTTCTTCAGGCCTGAAGTTGTATACTAGTGAATGTAAGCTGTTCTCGCAAACGCCTGAACAAAAGCAAAGACTCTTCTGGCAGAGCAACTACACGCCCAACAGTATTAATGAGGCTTGAGTCATGACGACAATGGCCTACTTGTGTATGCGCAAGAATGTCAAACGTAGGCTACTCTGAAACTTGAAATCAGTTGGTTTTCTACCCGATCAAGCATTCAATCTAAAAAAGTGGCTGATACACCTAAAAAGTTACCCAATGAGCGGGACCAACGCTGAAGAATAAGGAGAGTTCTTCACAAACAGGTTACTGTTGAGTTTATTTGCTATGTGGAAATATTTGAGTGACGATTTATGAAGGAAAAAGCAAAAGAAGGAGGAGGAAATTCTCCTACGAACACAAATTCACAACATTTGGGGTTCGCGATTGCTGTGGCTAGACAGAATGATCGAAATCCTCTTTGGGAATCAAGCTAACACCTCATTAGTCATTGTTTTTGTCTCATAGCTCGATATGATGCGTTCCCCCTGAGCCAGCGGAAAGCATAGGTAGCAGTAAACAACAGCATTCGATCTACTCCCTAATAATGGTCTGGAAAGCTTCCACAAGAATGCTGGGTTGTGAACAAAACTTTCGCTCAAGACGGATTCGAACCCGCACCCTCGTTTTCACCTCGCGACAAGTGCGCTACCCCGCGTAACGTAGCGCACTTGTCCGGGAAACGAGGGTGCGGGTTCGAAGTCCCGCCTGGGGCGAAAGTTTTCTTCACAACCCAGCATTCTTGTGAAACATTTGCAAGGCGAACTACGGCCAAAAACAGCAGTTAACAAACAAAATACAAGTTCTGGAAAGCGTTAACGTCTGAAAATCTGTACGCGCTATTACAGACACGGGATCTTCGATGACCCAGCACTGGGAGGTGGCAGAATATCAAGGAAAATTAAAATCTGCTTCAAACTGCTCATCACGTGATCCCTGGATGTCTTGCTTAAGTCAATCGGCAGTTTTAATTGAAAAAAAGAGAGATGTTTTCACGTGGTAGTAAAAACATAGCCAGCCGCAATGCCCATAGCGGTAAGGCCCCTGCTCTTCACCTTTGCTCCCAGGGGCGGCTTCGCTTTGCGATTCTCGTCAGTTGTATTGCGTTTGGGTAACCTTTGGGGTGAAACGACCCGACTCCCTCAGTCGCTATGTGCTCCTCGTACTTCCACCTAAACTCCTCATCTTCGAAAGGACCCGTATTGGTAATCGAATTTCACGTCTTATAGCGCCGCTAGAATACTCACTCTTGCTGGGTTTGCGAACTCCACACCACAGGAGCCGAACCTCATCGCTTTTCCTGTAGCTTACAGATGGTTTAACTTCCAGTACCCTCACCATACAAACTGTGCACGGTGCTTTAGCGCCAAATGCGAAGAACTATGTGCATGGATTCCACTGCTGAAAATCCGGACAACACCGCAGGCCAAGCTTCCATACCCTCTGACGATCCTTATGAGACTTCTTTGGTAGCGTGAACTCACTAGCTTGCACGTCAGCTGTCCTGTCATTGTAAGGTGTGTATAAAATGTTATTACATTTGTGATTGGAAAAAGAATGCATGGCGTGATCCGAGAAGAAAGGTGTTAGCCAAGCTTAGCGAACTTCTATGGATCGCACCTTCTTCCATGAATAGCATTTTTCTCAATTTTCTCTATACCTTCCATGTCGCTTTTTTCAGAAGCGATATCTGTGCACGACTACTGTGCAAGGACAACCGTCGTTGCGCAGATTCCAAAACTTTCACAACCCTCCCCTCTTTGAGAGTCTCGATACAACCCCCATCAACCTTGGGAGACTCCCCCAATGCCACTCCCTATCCCAACCCCGACCACCACCCTCACCAACATGACCGTTTCCATAGTATATGATTCCAGACCAGCCAGTCGACAACTGCCGAGCCGCTCGCTTTTTCCTTTCAAAATAGCTCTGTCCATGGGCGGGGCGGGGGAGGGAGATGGGGTAGGGAGAATTAATATATCTACACAACAAAAAAAACATTTTTCCACTCAGTCTGACTTCGAAAAAACGTCGACCCTCCCTTCCACGTTTCTGACCATCATCCCCTCTTAAATTGAAGGAAACTTGGTGGAGAAAAAGAAAAAAAAACAACTGGCACTGAGGAATTTTGGGATTTATGTTGCTCCAAAAGACAAAGGGTCAATACAGCCCACGAGAAAGAGACAGCTCGTGCAATTGTATTTGAGCGTGAGTAGAAGTACAGGGCGTCCTTTAAGGCATTTCCATACATATTACAAGGCCTCGCCCATCGTCATCCTACGATTCCTTTGAGTTTCTTCCTCCTAGAGACTTTTTTTGACGGAGACACTTTGTGTCCATCACATATGCATGCGTCACTTCATAGGCCTCCTGGGGACCAAGGCGCCATATTCCTTCGAGCGTCGTTTTCTCGTCCGCCCAAAAATGACCTAGGGTTCAGAAAGTTGTTGAAAGAGAGGGTTGCAGCATTCGCACTGACAACTAAGTAGAAGCAGATCCGTGCTGCTGAAAATCAACAATTTTTATCTCTTGAGTTTATACAAGTTTCCACCCTTCTGTTAACAGTAAAAGCATCTCATTCAAACACCAAGGTAGAAACTGATTTTTTTTTGGTCGGAGACCGTTTTGCCATCATTTTCACCCTAGTTCGTTGCCGGCTGTGCATAAGGAAGAATTTAGAGGGATAATTTCAAGAGTCCACAATACACAGAAAGACTCTTCGAGAAAATATACTTCTAAATACGAATTGATGGTGGCTAAAAGGGGTGATGCCATGGGTATATGTTGACCATAAGCTAGAGTCTCTTATCACATTCATCCAATTTTGTTCATTCAGGAAAAATTCTCCAAAAAAAACGTCATTGTGAAGGACCATAGCCCGTGTCGTCTTCGTCTTCTCCGCAACAGCTCCCGAAAATTCGTATATCTGGTTTTTCTATATGAAGCCACAGACTATAGGCCGATGTCAGACTTTGCGAATCGCGCGATTCGCTAGCGTCTGCGGTCGCGTCGCGGCCAGTGAATCACTCAATTGGCTGGTACCGCAACGCGACCGCGGACGCTAGCGAATCGCTAGTAGCGAATCGCGCGATTCGCAAAGTCTGATAATGTTGCTGTTTTGAGCCTGCCATAACGTAGTCTCAAAGATCCCAAAATATACACAGACAATTTCGATTCCGCAGATTTCAGGGGTCCAAGGCTACCGTGGTGATCTTTTTTGCGTAGCGATCAACCCAGTGAATACATTAAAAACTCAGGGGTGGGCCTTGACGGATAGCCAGAAGTCGGCCATCTCTGAATCCGAGATCTACTTTGTGATAGTAAACGAATCGATGGGGGCTGTCATGCCACAACTGCAAGTACTGGTAGGATTCAGAGGCGCTCATGTCCCTGGGAGGGGGGAGCCAATTACTGTGCTTGAGACTAAGCTCTAGGCAGAGGCAGGATCTGAGGAGCCATGTGGAGCGGTTTTAGGGTTCTCCCTGGCTCTTTCTCCCCGCTCTGCTGGCGCTTAGTCCTAGGATCCCCTACATCAGGCTATTTTGGATGTCCCCCAACACCTCCCCCACCTCTCTCCAAGGACATGAGCACCAGATACATCTATTAAATGCTTTGTGATGGGTGTTTATTAAAACAACATTATTCCAAGCAGTGCCTGAACATCGAATTATGAGGTCGGCAATGTGTACGTCAATATTTTGCAAAATAACTTTTATTACTCGATAGATTTTCAATAGCCGGGAGCAAGACGGGCTGGAGGACAGTGGTCGCAACTGCCAGGCGAGCCGTTGTCTCCAGCGTTTCCAGGGGCACCAGCAGGACCGGGTGGTCCGGGTGGTCCTCGTTGGCCTAAAATAGAAAATCGTTCAGAACTGTCACGTTATTGTGTATCTGCCAAACTTACCAGGCTCTCCAGGACTTCCAGGTGTTCCATTTTCGCCGTCTCTTCCAGGTGCTCCAGCTTTTCCGGGTTGCCCAGGAGAACCAGGACGACCAGGAGGTCCAGGTGGACCAGCTGGAGCGGGTCCACCAGGCACAAGCTGTCCAGGCTCTCCAGGAGGTCCACGCTGTCCAGGCTGACCGGGCTGTCCAGGGGGTCCGGGTGGTCCGGCAGCTCCCTGTGGACCTGGTGCTCCATCGCCTCCGTTTCCACCAGGTTGTCCAGGAGCTCCGTCTTGTCCAGGTGGTCCAGCTGGTCCAGCCATACCAGGTGCAGCTTGGCATGGGCACTGTGGAGGCACTGGCAATAATCGGTCGTGCAACTCAGCATCTGGTCCTGGAGGTCCAGGTTCACCGGGTCCAGCTCCGGGTTGTCCATCTTTGCCGTCAGGTCCTGGCTGACCGTCTGGGCCAGGTGGGCCTTGCTGGCAAGTACAGCACTGGGCTTCGGCTTGACGAGTTGTACGGAGAAGAATGTCTAGAGGGTCGTCTCCTCCTTCTGGAGCCACTTCCACCATTTCACGCCACATATCTCTTGAACGGGACTTGCAGTACTCAACTTCTCCCTTAAAAAGTAACCTGAGTTCATTCCTACAAGAATACCTCTTGAAGTTGAGAACTCACCTGAACCGTAGCCTGTAGGGTTTGAACATAGTGGAATACCAGTGGGAAGGTGACTAGGCAGGCAGAAACTGCCACCGTCGAGAATACGACTGCAGCGAATGCCACACCCCTCAGAGAGTCCTTCTTCTCCTCCATTTTCTGGAAAAAGCTCACTTAGTGCTTCGTAAGGAAACAATTCGATGAAAACTCGTTCGATGAGGAAGGTATGAAAGAAAAGAAGGGTAGAAAGAACGAAAGAAGGAAAACTGCATGTTGAGAGAGAGGCTGTAGTGTCGCATCAACCCTAGGATGCATAAGGAGACCAGAACAGGATTCTGTAAGAGGAAACTGCATTAAGAGGCTGAGGACACGCTATGAGGGACTCTGAAAGAGAAATCTGTGGGCAGGCTAAGAGGCCGGAGACCGGTTCCGTCACGTACAATCCTCTACGCGCTTGATGTTCTCACAAAAACTGGACACTTCAGACGAATTCCTTGACAACTTTTTAATGGCTTTTCCTTGTACGCCGTCAACCTGATGTCTATGGAATGCGTTCCGTTAGGTACCGAAGACTTGGTATTGATTAAAGGTTCTAGCCCCCCCCTCCCCTAAGGCAATAAGATAAGACCACCCGCAGTATAATCCCCAAGTTTGAACGGAACTCTTAATGGTAAGGGTTCTCAAGTGCTTTTAAGGGGACTGCTAAAGGTTGAGATACAATGTATCTCATAAATAGATGGATATAATAATGTATCCACATATTGATAGGAACAATCACGTATGCGAGGAAAAAATTCAACGGAATAACGCCTTGTATTAATCATTATTTATACTGTTTGCTAAACCACGACCACCATTCCTTCTTTTTGTTCTCCACGGGTAGTCCTTATCGCAGGTGCACGATAGACATTGGGGTCATTCGTGCCACCCAATCTTCGGCTCTCCTAGCCAGTTCGTCCGGAACCAATAGTTTAGGCCCCTTCGTCTTTGCCACCCATAAGGTTAGCTCCAGCGACCCAAAAACCTTTATAGAATTTTCTCCGTTGGGGCGTGCATGATTGTATAAACGAATGTATGGAGGAATGTGGATGTTGCCCGGATGGATGCTGCTACAGTACCTGACCTGCTCGTGAACAAATAGGCCTCAACCGCCTACCGTCGTAGGTGAGGGGGGAGGGCCCTCAAGTGAGTGAACCACTTACAACACTTGGGAATAAGTCTCAAGGCGAGAAAGGCTTTGGGGGTAGATCTGAGCAGATTATGGGCTCCCTAGCGTTTCTCCCCTCTCCTGGGCTTAGTCCTAGTGTCACCTACCATGGCCCTGTTTTGAATGTTTCCCCCCCCCCACCTAACGATATGAGTGCTTCTCAATCTTCTATGCTACATATAGGTTTTCCCGGCGGTATATAGTAAATAATATATCCTAATAAAAAATCTTTAGGAGCTATCGCAATATAGGGGAGCCTCCACCAAGACTAAGCCTGAAGGAAGCAGAAGCTCCAGGGAAAATGAAAATGGCTCATGCACTTTGGAGTCTTTTTTCCGCCGCCTAAAGTTCGGTCTCGTTTTTTAACAAAAAAGACATGTTTTTTGGTTTGAAGGGCATTGTCATCGCAATGCCCCCGTATATTGCGATAGCGCCAGTCCTAATATCTCCTGATGAAAATCATGCTTATTATCAAGAAATTAGTTATCAAGAAGTTAACCAGGAGTAAAGTAGTCCAGATGGCGAGCTGTACAGCCAGTAGAGAGAGGTGAAGGTGACGAGGTGAGTGTCTGTGAGAAAGCCTGAATGGGGAAGCTGGCGGCGAACATTTAGACAGGCGCTGGCGGACTAGCTTATATGCGGTTGTGGAGGTGGAACGAAACACCATCGCGTACGCGCAAAGAAACAACACATGACTGGCTATCGTACTGTGTAAAGCGATAGGAATGAGAACTTTAATTGCAACATTTTAATTTGTAACAGTGGCAAGATTGCAACCTTGCTAAACAAGTTGCCCCCCCCCCCTCTTGGTTTGCAACTTGCTTGGCAGGCGTAAGTCGCAGCAG